TTGACCCAGCGGTTGGGTTACTACCCAGAAGGTTGGGTTAAACATTTAACCCAACCGCTGGGTCAAAACAACCCAATTGCTGGGTTTGTCCCTATTTTACCCAGCACTGGGTTGTATTTAACCCAGCATTTTTTAGAGTGTACATGTACTTACTATAGGGTTAGGGTTACTTGCATGTAATTATGCAAAATTAATTGTTATTATAATAGTAATTACATGTAACATGTGTAACAAGGACACCTTAAAATAAAGTGTTATCAAATCACTTTATCCAATTATCTGCTTTGGCTGTTTGGGATGCGTGAAAACGTACATGTCCCAGTGGCAGCCTGCGATGGCCTAAAATTGTCAGGCTCTGCGTTTGTGCAGCTCTCGCAGTTTATCTCTGGCTGCTAGACGGTGTGTGCGCACCAGCCGACCGCTCCACAAGTTCGCAGAAACCCTTTCCACAGCATGTATGGGTAGAAAGCCGTCACGTTTCACAGATTTATTCTTAGCCATTTAGTCTTTTTTTTTTTTTTTTTTACTGTCTTTTTTTGACACAGCAGCAGGTATGATCATTCTTTATGTGTCAATCAGTCACGGATGAGCTTCCCCTGGGATCACACTCATCTGCTGGTTATTTTTAGCTTCTTCACTGTGAGGATGCTGTTTTATTGAGAGAGACTGTATTGATATTGAGATGCAGGATGCGCCGCAGCATTTACACTTTAACCTTTTACTTTTTATATAGAGAAGTGTTCGAAGATAAAGATATGCGTTTATTCCTATAGAAACAGAAAATTCCGATGACATGCAAAAGCTGAATACCACACCTTTTTTTTAATGATTTTTACATATTTTTTGTACATTTGGATATATGATGAAACATGCAGTATGGACATATTGACAGCTTCTATTTTGTACAAATATGTATGTATGCACAGGTTCACAAATGTAAAAATATTTTAATATTTATTAATACACATCTGTTAAAAATGTTGTGGTCAGTAAGATTTTTTTTTTTCTTTTTGAAAGAGGTTAAGATTTTTATAGCAGCAAGTAACAGTAAAGACATTTAAACATTGTTAGTAATCAGAAATGTTTCTTGAGCAGCAAAGAAACAGATTAGAATGATTTCTGAACAATCATTCAAGACTGGAGTAATGATGCTGAAAATTCAGCTTTGATTACAGGAATAACATGTTTTATTTTTTTTTAATTGATTAAAAATTTGAAAATCTATTCAAATAGAAAACCGTTTTTGACATTGTTCAGAATATTTCACAATATTTGTTTTTATTGCATTTTTGATCAAATAAATGCAGCCTAACAAATCTTACAGATCCCAAACGTTTAAACGGTAGTGTATATATTTGTATATTTTACTGTTATGTAGATATTTCTGAACTTCCTCCCTACTAAATCACTACTAAAACACTTCTCAACAGTATATTTAAAATAAATAAATAAATAATAAAAAACAGGTGTAAAGTACAGTGAAAATAATTTGTTATAATATACTATTATGCAATTATTTGCATATATATTTTACTAATTAAATGATTAAGCAATGATTAAATGATGATGATTTTTAATTAATTTTAACACTTTAAAGTTTAAGCTTGAGTAAAGTGATGCATTCCTTCAAAACTAGTTGATTACAGCACCAGAAATCACACAGAAATTCGACTGTTATAATTTCACATTAGGTAAATGCATTAAATAAATATGACACTGAGCATTTTTAATTAATCTCATTGATTAGATACAATAAAATCAATTTGTTATTTCCTTGAATTCAATATTTGACGAACCTGAGAGGATTTGGACATCTTTAAAGTTATTCCTACATAAAATGCTTGCGTTTTAGATGCTGCCAGTCCACCTATCTGTAACGAAAGAGCAGTGCGGCCATTTGATTTATATTGCAAACTGGTATTTGTTATCATATTACTGTAATTTATTATCAGTTTTATCATTTACTGCATTTTATTCTTCTTCTAGTTTTTTACCGATAACGCCTAATAAATCGAACATCTCAAAATAAGGTGGATACATTAATAATGTACAGTTTAGAGTCAATGCAAACGTGTATATATAACTTTAGAACGAATAACAGCTACTAATGAGCTCATGTTTCTGTGTGATTTAAAGTATTAATGGCAGATGATTGCATATGCATAGAAACAGTGTAAAATATATGCTGAGCATTTGTTTGATTTCCACCATCCTGTCAATCTCGAATCGTGAGAATTCTGACTGTAGGAAGTGTAGGATAGCAACAATAAATAAATACTAGCCAGAGCTCTTAGTTCAGTTGAAAACGCTAAGCATTTTGGAGCTCTTTAGGGTGCTTCTCTGATGCATTATTATGTCAGTTTATATCCCAGTGGGCACCGGGCCTGCTGACTGCAAATCCAATATCGGCAAAGTGAATCCGATGTAGCCTCACAACTCCTCATTGGTCTGCACTGGAATCCCAGCAGCTGCTTTACTGCAGTTGCCTGTCAGCCATTTTGTTTCACTTCATTGCTCTGTAAAGAGTCCAAACCCTTGGCTTTTTTCCTCAGTCTTCTGCAGTCTTGCTTACATACAGCATGCACAATAAAAAGAGAATAATGCTTGACTTTGGTCTTCTCCCTGGACAGCACCGTGTAAGTGAAAACTTTGTAGTTTCTTGGTTAATCCAGCTGCTCCCCTGAGACGAGGCACACTGCATGTGTGTGAGAGAACGAGAGCATTTGTTGACTGGCAGCTCCCTGAACGAGTTTGATCTGTGTATTAGCTTGACCTTACATACACTGTTGTATAACTTATTTGTGCAGAAATATCTGCACTGCAACAACTAAGACACAGTGATGATGCAGTAGACAAGCCGCGGTTAAGACTTTCTGACAAAAAAAAATCTGCCTGATTTCTGACAGGCAGTTCACTCTCCTGTGATGTGACCCTGTTCCCCTCACACACACACACGACGCGTTACTCTCGCACTGAAACACAGCATCTCCCTGACATGCTGCTCGGGTACGAGTTCAGTGAGACATGATTCACAATAAAAGAGTTCAACGACTTGTAAAATGGCATGCTTGCATCAGCAAATGTGTTTTTATCTCACGTTTGCTTTCGCTAACACTGTCGGTTACATTTAGTGTAGTTGGTGCGTTATTTTCAAACGTGATAGAGCATTAACCCTTTAGCGCCACTCACCAGACATTTAATTTCCAAATTGCTGAGATACATACACCATCCAGTGTAATAAAATGTTGCCAGATTCATGTTCATCTGTTAAAAATAAATAAACAAAACTGAACGTGCTTTTAGTGCCACTCACTGGATATTTCACTTTGAAAATGCCACGAAATGTGCAAGAAGCAATGTAATAAAATTTTTCCAATGAGCCTGGGTTACAACTTACATGGAAAACAGATTGAAATTTATGTTATTATTATTATTATTATTATTGATAATTTCCCCCTCCTGTGAACAATTAACTCCCATAATTGCTGTGACCAGAATAATGAGCCAGTTGAGAGCCAAATAATTGAAAGCTATTGTTGATTTGAGTCAAATCTTTTTTTTCAATAAATTGTATATAATTGAATAATTGAATTGAATTCAATAATTGAATATAGTGGCTACTTTTAAGGAACTTTTTGGTGATCAAATTCGTGGTCGATAGAACTGTTGTCAAATAATCTTTTTCTCTTTTCATACTCTCCTAGGATGAAGAGAGTGAGCCACTGTTACCGCGTCGAGTACCGTCATATGGAGAGGACCCTGACGCAGGAAGAAGTGTGTATCATCCACAGAGCCATTGAGCAGGCAGCCGAAAAAGAGCTCGGAGTGCAGGGAAGATACTGAGCTCTCTCTCTCTCTTTAACCATCATGACAATCTTCCACCTCTCGCGATGAGATTCACAGATGTAGTCACATGTCTCTGTGGTGGTAAATAAAATGTGGAAACTCTCAGCAACAACTGCACTTGTTGGAGACTCCATCTGTAGTTTCTTAAAGGAACACTTCACCCAAACACGAAAATAATGTCATTATTTACTCACCATCATGTCTGTCTAAATCTATAAGGAGAATTTTGAAGAATCTGTATGTAGATTTTTTCCAAGTAACAACATCATAAAAAGGGATAGTTCAGCCATCATTTACTCACCTTCATGTCATTTCAAACCTGTATTGACTGTTTAATCTGCAGAACATACAAGAAGATATTTTTTGAAGAGCATTGGTAACCAAACGGTTTTGGTGACCATTGATTTCCATTGCGTTGACTATTGCCTTCCATTGTGTTCCATACTGGTTTAAATAATGAGAGAATTTTCATTTTTTGGCAAACCATCTCTTTAAAACTCAATATTTGTGCTCGAGATGACTATAGTTTTGATGCTTTTACAGAGATTTTATGGTATGTTTTTGGATCTTGACAAAAATGTTCACTATAAACTGTAACTGCAATAAAACATTATACAGTTTGAAATAGGAGTGAGTCAATAATGACAGAATTGCAATTTAGGGAAAATCATGCCTTAAACATTTGCAAGATTTGACCTTGAAATGACCTTTTGGGTCATAATAACCTCTTTAGGCCTGATTGATTCGTCCCACTTCCCAGGCTGGCACTAGCTTTATCATGATACAAACCGCCGAATTAAACACAAATATCAAACAAGCCTTTAAAGTAAGTTAAAGTAAGAAGGAAACAAGAGCTCTCATTTCTACATTTCTGTTTTCTTAAGGAAGATATGTAATGAGCTGCTGCCCAGAAATTACCAAGATAATGAAACTCTTCCTCAAAGTCACTCCACAGTAAAATGGCAAACAGGAGGCTAACAGGTCATCGTTTGTGGTAGAAAATAAAAGTGTGTTGAGGTTTAATTGTGTCGCTGTGTCTTATATATATATATATATATATATATATATATAATATCTCACAGAAGTGAGTATTCAAAGTCACAAATGGCAAACAGGAGGCTAACAGGTCATCGTTTGTGGTAGAAAATAAAAGTGTGTTGAGTGTGTTGAGGGTCGCTGTGTCTTATATATATATATATATATATATATATATATA